CCATGATCGCACCACTGCATCCAAGCTGGGTGACAGGAGTGAGACCCTGTCTCAAAAAACAAAAACAAAAATGTAAGAAGTATAATTATTATTCCCACTTTATAGATGAAGAAACCAAGGTACAGAGGAATTAACCAAGATATTCAAGGTCACCAACTAGTGAAAAGCATAGCCAGAATTGGAATCCAGGAAGTTTAATTCCAGAGCCTATGTTCTCAACCAGGAAGCTATTTTTTAAAAAGTTATTATAACTTGGGCCAGGCATAGTGGCTCATGCCTATAATCCCCATGTTTTGGGAGGCCAAGGTGAGAGGACTTTAAGATCAGCCTGGGTAACACAGTGAGACCCCCATCTCTCTCTCTCTCTCTCTCTCTCTCTCTCCATATATATATATATATATATATATGTATATATTTTTTTTAATAGCTGGACATGGTGGCACATGCCTGTAGTCCCAGCACTTCAGGAAGCTGAGGTGCGTAGATCATTTGACCTCAGGAGTTCGAGACCAGCCTGAGCAACATGGCAAAACTATGTGTCTACCAAAAAAAAAATGTTTTTTAAATACACACACACAAAGGCTGAGTGTGGGTGTGATGGCTCATGCCTGTAATCCCAGCACTTTGGGAGGCTACGTTGGGTAGATCACTTGAAATCAGGAGTTTGAGACCAGCCTGGCCAACACAGTGAAACCTTGTTTCTACTAAAATTACAAAAATTTGCATGGTGGCACACACTTGTTATCCAAGTTTCTCAGAGGGCTGAGGCAAGAGAATCAATTGAACCTAGGAGGCAGAAGTTGCAGTGAGCCGAGATTGCACCACTGCACTCTAGCCTAGGCAACAGAGCCAGACTCCATCTCAAAAAAAAGAAAAGAAATGCAGATTCTGATCCAGAAAGCCTGAAGTAGGGCCTAAGATTCTGCATTTCTGTAAAGCTCTCAGTGAGGAGAGTGCTGCTGGCCAAGGTGGACCACACTTTGAGAAGCAAAGTTCGGGCAAGGGGAGGGAGGGGAGCAACATTAGAACTGTTTAAAGAAAAACGCTGCCAGGTGCAGCGGCTCACGCCTGTAATCTCAACACTTTGGGAGGCTGAAACGGGTGAATCATCTGAGGTTGGGAGTTCGAGACCAGCCTGACCAACATGGAGAAACCCCATCTCTACTAAAAATATAAAATTAGCTGGGCAAAGTGGTGCATGCCTGTAATACAAGCTACTCGGGAGGCTGAGGCAGGAGGATTGCTTGAACCTGGGAGACTGAATTTGTGGTGAGCCGAGATTATGCCATTGCGCTCCAGCACACTGGGCAAAAAGAGCGAAACTCCATGTCAAAAAAAAAAAAGAAAAAAAATCTAGACAAATTAAATTTAACAGAAGGTAATTGAACAATGACTGATTCCTTTAAAAATTGTTTTTGGAGATGGGTCTCACTCTGTTGCACAGGCTGGAGTGCAGTGGCACAGTCATAGCTCACCACAGCCTCAAACTCCTGGGTTCAGGGGACCCTCCTGAGTGCCTAGAACCACATGACACATGCGATGATTAACAGATTTCATTTATTTATTTATTTTCATGTTGTTATGTTGCCCATGCTGATCTCAAACACCTGGCCTCAAGCCATCCTCCTGCCTTAGCCTCCCAAAGTGCTGAGATTATAGATGTGAGCCTCCATGCCCAGCCTAAGGAACAATTCCTGAATCAGGTGGCTCTGGGAACAGGCAGACTTCAGAGAGCTCCACTCTGCAATGCAGACAGGGATCACTTATAGAAAACAGAAGGGAGGTGTGGAAAACAGCTTGACTGGTTAGAGCTCAGTATTGAGACATGGTCTGATCAGTTGGTAGCCCGTGACTAACTGAATATCAGCTGCTGTGGTTGGCTGAGACTCAGCTATTTGTTACAAAACAAAACTTCTATATTAGGCCTTCAGTTTATCTGAAATCAGGTTGCAGTTCTTTCAGTAGGAACTCAAGGTATGGAGGCAGTCTCTGGCCAAATTTAGTTTAATTTACCAGGAACTTGAATAACACCTAAGGTCCTATTAGGGTAGGAGGGGGATTAAAAAGAGGCTCTGAAGGAGCCTGGAGGTGAGAGGGGACTTTGCCTGAAAAGGTCCTTGGAGAACTAGGGCAGTGTTGTTGGAAAAGATACTATAAAAGCATTT